AAAAAAAAAAAAAAAAAAAAAAAAAAAAAAAAAAAAAGTAGAAACAAACAAATAAACAAACAAAAACAACACTAAGAGTAAAATCCCCATCTCCACACAATGGAACTGAACTTCATAGTGAGAATCTGATTATCCTACACTTTTTTTTAAGAGTCAAAGGACTCTGGACTACTTACCTGATCTTGTAAGAATGTAAGTGTGTTATTTATGCTTTTGTCCCTGAAATGTGCAGTGTAAGGTACAAATAGATCCTTCATAGCATACATGAAGTTCTCTGACACCATGATACAGGAGCAATCGTGTATTGACAAGCTTTGCACAACTGGACTTTATCATTTTGTTACTGTTATTTGTTGGAGGTTACAGTGTTTTCTATTCAAGATAGACTGTCTTCCATAGCTAAAGGCAGAAGCTACTGATGCTGTGTAAAGCAGTATATCGGGTAGCCCTACAGCTCATTGTACTCTGAAAAACTACTAGTCCTCATCCTCAAGGTGCAGTCTGTCTGTGAGTAAGGCTACTAACTGGTACAAAGGATTTTTCTTCACTAGAATGGAAACTTGGAGACATTCCTGGCATGGAAGAAAGTGAGTGTTCAGAGTGGAAACATCAAAAAAGCTTCTGATAAATCTGTTGCAGCTGAGTTGTCTGCCCAGATGCTCATTCCAAAATCTGATCAAGAGTATTCTGTCTTACCTGTGATTGTGAGGGGATGCATTCAGATTTCTTGTTGCTGAACAAAAATATCCTTCATAATCTCATTTGGTCAACAACATTACTGTATGTGAACACTCCACAAAGAAAGTACTTGAGTCACAGTAAGAATTTCTCAGTAATAACAAAATACAACTTTTTGTTTGTTTGTTTGTTTTAATTCAGTTCTGAAATGGGTGTCTATGAAAACGGGTGTAATTTCTATGCTGAGTCAGTGTTAATAGGTTTATTTATAATAGCAGGAACCAATGTTAACTAAAACGTCAAAGATGTTTCAATACATAGGCCATCAGTTAAGGCTACTAACATCCTCATTTACAGAAAAATTCTTTATTCAAACCAGAGATTTTTATTTTTTATTTTTCTCTTTAAATGATGCAGTGATAAGAAAAACTAAAATCCTTGGCCCAGTAATTCTCTTGTTCCAAATTTCAGTCTTACACTTTGCAGAAGATCAGGAAGGTGGTCAGCAAATTCAGGTAAGATTCAAATTCAGCAAATTCAGGTAAATTTAGGCCCTCAACGGGCCTGAGTCTAATGGAAGATCTTTAGCTTGTCATTATTTAGAATAGTCTGGAGGTTTTCAGAGTTTCTGCCAGCATCTTCAAAAGACAATACATGTGCTGAGCCCATCTGGAGCATAGCACTGTTTGGCTGCACAGAATCACAGATTCACAGAATGGCCAGGGTGGGAAGGGACCTCAAGGATCATGAATCTCCAACCCCCCTGCCACATGCAGGGCCACCAATCTCCCCATTTAATCCCAGACCAGGCTGCCCAGGGCCCATCCAATCTGATCTTGAACTCCTCTAGGGACGGGGCATCCACAGCCTCTCTGGGCAGCTTCCAGCATCTCACCACTCTCTCTGTAAAGAACTTCTCCCTGACATCCAACCTGAATCTCCCCTCCCTCAACTTAAAACCATTTCCCCATTTTTTCATAGGAGAGCTGCTCTAGCACTCTGATTGCCTTCATGGCCTCCTCTAGACCTACTACAGCAAGTCCATGTCTTTCTTGCCCTGGAGGCCCCTGGCCTGACTGCAGTACTACAGATGAGGCTTCATGAGGGCAGAGCAAAGGGGAACAGTTGCTCCTTTCGCCCTGCTGGCCACTCTTCTGTTGATGCAGCCCAGGATGCAGTTGATCTTCTGGGCTATAAGGATGCAGTGCTGGCTCATATGGAGTCTCTCACCAATTATCACGCCAAAGTACTTCTCCACAGAGCCACTCTCAATCCATTCTTAGCCCAAGCATGTATTTGTCCTTGGAACTGACCCAACCTTGTAGTTGGCTTTGTTGAACTTTATGAAGTTCATACAGACCTGCTTGTTGAGTCAATTCATTTCCAGCCTCTTTGTATCATTCAATCCCAACTGATCAGACAGCAAAGAAGAATTTGTACTTATTTTTTCCTAGTGCTGTACTGAAATTACTTGAAGTACTGAGAAGGTTAATATAAGTGCACTTGAATTCGTAGAAAAATGCAGCATTGCTTTTTGTTCTCTAGGAATATAAGTATGTTGTATATGGAAACCACAATGAAATATTTAATAAAGAGGACATCATTCCTAATATGTTCAATACAGTAATTTTCCCAGAAGTAGTTCCTGAAGAAGAGCATCAACAAAAGCATAGCTATTTCTGGTGTTCTGCTAGAAGCTATGCTAAGAATCAAGTTTTCTACAAAAACAGACAGTGGAATATCCTTTTTAAAGAAGATGTACAGCATCACATGCTTATGGCTGATCTTCGTTTTGGTAGACTCTAGACTTATTATTATTATTATTATTATTTTTTAGGTGTGTATGATATTGAAAGTTTCATGTGGTGGGATTGTTTGAATTAATTTGTGAACTGTAAAGAGAACATTTGCTGCCACTTCCTTTTTTTCTAAAAGCATACAAGAAGCAGCATGCAAATTTTTAAGTAAGTGCTGTTAAAATGTATTTCTCCCCAGTTTTATTAAGGATCAATTAATTACAATCAGAACTTTTGAAATATCTGAAAATTGTCATTTGCTAAAGTTGATGCTTGGTCATGTGCCTTTGCCTAAAAAACTCATTAGTGTATCAGTCCTGACTCGAAGTGAGTTCAGGGTGCTTCCCTAGAGGTAACAGAGAGGTCAGAAACAATGTTTTGAGGCTGTCAAGTGTGCATGGGTGATGACTTTTTAATTATTTTTAGAGTAGTGGTGACGATGTGTTATACTTGAAAAGTTAACCTAGACAACATTTTCCACCGTGGTATGTAACAGCAGTATGGGCCTTGATTCACACAGCTTCAGGACTGTTTAGGAAATCTTTCCTTATGATTCTGCTCTTCAGAACTGCTGGAGCAGAAGGAGATTCTTGTTTGGTGAGGACTTCCATCATTGTTGAGAGTTCCTTTCACACTTGTGAATATAGTAATCAGCTCAGGAGGCTGTGAGAAAGTCTTTGGGTGAACAGGACTGCGTTGTGGGCAATGCATTCTGGCCAGATTTTGGATATATTGGGAAGGTAGGCACCATGCAAAGATTCCTAAATGCAAAGTGCTGTTGTAAATATATGTTGTTGCTACTTCTTGTTGCTAACAAGAAGTTTAAGCTTGAAAATAAATAACTGTGCATTTTATTACTTTTACCTAACAGTGGTATCCTTCGAGTTCATTCTGTTGCTTCCATATTCTATCCTTGAAGTTCATTCTGTTGCTTTCATATTCCTTGGAAAAATCTCTCATACAGTCTTAAGAAAAGATGATATTTACTTATGAAGAAAAACATGAGTTTCCCAATATCTGATTTTCCAGAACTGCTGAAGGTCAGGTCACTGGCTAGCAGCAAAATAGCTTTGCACAGATTCATTTTACCTCACTTTATTATTTGTGTTATTCTCAATGAAACCATTGCATAAGGTCATCAGATAACTGTGCATATGTTAACTTCCTCTCTGCTTCATCAAAAGCATTTAACACACACACTTACAAACATACTGTAAACAAAGTGATTTCTATTTCCAGTATGGATCTTGATGAAATCTGAGGTCAATGCCACCTAACTTCAAGAACAAGCTGCAGTTGCCACTCTTTAAAAATAATGTACAAAGCCTGTGAGCTGTGGTGTCTGCAGCACTGCCGGCACTCACACATACCCTTTTGATAGATAAATGTTCTGGGAAATCCTGTATTTATTGTGCCATGCGATTTTTTAAGATCAGATATAGCAATTATAGTAAGCATGACACGTTTAAAATAAAGTACCCACAATTCAGTGGGAAGGGGATTTGGTGCATATCAGAGTCCTGTTTGTTCAGGTGACAGATTAACCACAGGGTGGGCTAGCACTGCAGCATTTCCCTTAAGAGTTTCTGCCAGTTAATGTCAACCCAGACTTATCCTTTTTCCAAAAGGGAATGGACATTATTCAAAATTCTGAGGTGTTTTTGAACCATCCCACAGTTATGCAAAGTTCAGCAGCTTTGAAGAAATCCGAAGGTCTGGAGCATGAGCAGTACAATATAAAAGGATATAAATGGTATCCTAGATGCTGAAAAGTAATGCACTCATCTGTTGGGAACTAATCCATGCTGGAATGTATTATTTTAAAAGGAGTTTTAGTTAATTTGCTTGCCTGATTTTACATCTGGGGAGGTGTGTGAGGGGAGTGGGGGGGAAGTAAATTTGGTGTGAAACATGTCGTTATTTTAGGTGGGAATAATCAGCCCACTGACAAACATTTCTCTGCCTTGCCTTGGAGGTATGTTTGCATGTAGCTGATGCAGCAGCATGCATGCCAGGAGTTTCAGAACTGGATGTTTCAGACACAGAACACAGCAGTGTGCCTGGTCTGAAGTATGCTCAGCTCTGTACTCAGTGTAGAAAAGCATCTTCTGCAGCTGCATCATAGGAAGCAAGCAGCTGTGCTGTGTAGGTGTGGAGGTGAGGTTGCATTGTAGTTAGGGATCGTTAGGAGCTGCATACCTACTGGTCTGCTGCTGAGGGAGGCAGCGTTGTGCAGCATCTGTGAGTTTTAAGAAGTTAGCTGCAATGTGCAGTCGGTTGAGATTAAACCTCCTTGCCGTTCCCGGGTCCATTTTCAAAACTTTCACCAGACTTAGACTTACAGCCCACATTGCACGTGGATACGCAGGCAGATAGGCTACTGGGCAGGAGCACACCCTCCTCCAGTATTTAAGGACCCTTCGGCATCTCGCTGCTGGGCAGAGCAGAGTGGTCACGCTGATTTTCACACCTCCTCACGCTCTCTTCAAGTTGCCCACTTGGATCAGTCCCACGACATCCCCAGCCCCAGGTGACAGACATCACCGCTGCTCCCCGTCGGCGGCACGGACCGCCTGCAGGGGTCCATCCGCACCGCGCTGCGGGACGACCGAGGCAAGAAGCGTGATTCAGCCCGCTCGAGCTTCTCCGTCCGCGGGCCGTGCCTGGGACCGGGGCCCGGCGCTCCTGCCAGGAGGCGGCGCCGCGGGCGGCCGTGGGGCGAGGCGGAGCCGGACCCGGTTGGGCAGGCGGCCGGCGCGGGCAGCGGAAAGTTTGTGCTCGGTCCCGGCCGCCGCTCGCCGCGCCGGTGGCCGCGGGGTCGGGGAGCCGTGCGGAGCGGAACTAGGGTGTCCGGGCTGGCAGTATGAAGGCGCAGCACTCATGTGCGGGCACCGGGCAGCGCGGCGCGGTCGGCCGCGGCAGGATAGGCGCGTTGGAGCTCGCTGTTAGTCCCATGAAACGCTTGAGGACTCAGTACGCCTTTCCCTGTCTCTTCGCAGAGGAAGCCTACCAAAAGCTGGCCAGCGAGACCCTGGAGGAGCTGGACTGGTGCCTGGACCAACTGGAGACCCTGCAGACAAGGCACTCCGTCAGCGAAATGGCCTCCAACAAGGTAAGAACCACCCGGAGGTCGGTGCCCGTGTCGCCGCCGTGCCCGCGTGGGGCGCGGGGTCCGGCGCTGCCGTGAGCCCAGGCGTGCTGCGAGCAATGCGCTTGCCTGCGGGGAGCCACGCGGGCACCCTGTGCGTTATCAAAACCCAAACCGGTATTTTTGGCTGCCGCGATGATCCTTTCTTCTGATTGTTTCACACTCGTCCCACTGCGAGCTGGAGCACTGGTCTAGGACAGTGCGTGGGAATCAGCATCGCAAAAGGTGGTGGAGGCAGGGAGCGCTTGGTTCCACCGGTGGTACCAACCGGGTTTTGTCTGTAAATAGAAATGCCTAACACGGCACTTCCCTAACGCGGTGTCCTCTGGAGGAACACACTCAGAGCCAATGGCCAACCTAACTACCGTCTGTGCCAGTACGTCTGTTATTTGCCATGACAGATAGCAAGGTCAGGGATGTACTTCTTAGACCAAGTCTTCAGTGGAGCTCACAGTGCCCAGAGAGGGGTGCTGGACGCTGCTGTGCGTGGAACTCTCTTCTCCCGGTGTGCAGTTTTCAACTTCATTCGTACGTATACTTTTCTTTGTGATTTTGATTTACAAACAACATGTAGCTATATTGCTAGCATTTATTTTTGAAGTGAAATTAGTAATCCTGCTGCTTTGCTTCAGAATGTATTTTCACATTTCTTAGCAGATATCACAAGTATTTGGGGAGCAACATGTAAAATGAGAGGGAATGATGTCTTAATTACAGCAAATAAGTGGGTTGTTTCTTGCCTCTTCAATGTATGCTCATCATCTGTATTTAAACAGCTATATTTTATAACCATTTTTGTTGCAATGAGGTTTCTTTAAAGTCATGTTTTTAACTCAGCTCATGTTTCTTTTAAAAGCTACTATCCCTTCTGATTGCCCCTACCAAATATCCTCTCCTCTCGTCTGGGTCTGAGCCCGGCTCAGCCTGGGGGTGAGATATGGGCTGTTGGCACTCCAGTGCAGGCTGTCCTGTGATAAAACCAGTTTATTTCTTTGTTGTGTCTTCTGCTTCTCCTGTCTTGAGACACACTTAGTAGCAATTAAATATCCGTTTTAAGAGTTGCCCTGTTCTGTTTTCAGATTTAATTGTCAGTTGAAAGATTCTGGGTATGTGCTGTAAATGTGTCAAGTGAGGAATCTTGGAATTGTTTCAGAACTTCATGAATCCAGTGATACAGTTATTGCTCCAAAGGGAATATGGCTATGGCTGGTCTTGGGACCTGTCCTGACTTACTGACAAGTTTGAACACCTGTTGGTGTCCTTTCTATGTCTGTATCACCACTATTTCACCAAGTCCTCACCTGTTTGTTACCTCCTTAAGGCAGACGTGTTGTATCTTATGAACAACAATGGCAAGGTAGTTTTGGAGTAAGATAAAACTGACTACAAGTCAATTCTAGAGTTCTCTCAGTTCTCCGATGAGCAAATACAAAGATGCTACATCTATTGCTGTTTTTCTTCTATTTCTTTGAACTAGTTAAAAGTGTTACTTGCCACAGATTACAGGATAAGCAGTCTTTGCACATGCTTATTCAAATGAAAAGGAAAATGTGATTTAGAAAAAGTTTATTGTCCTGTTTCAAAAATAGTATTGTGCAGATGAGGGATTGATACATGTTGAGCTTTGTTGTGGTTAATCTGAGAGTCAGTAAGACTGATGCTGAGCTTTGTAGCAAAACTGGGATTTTGTATTGCAGAAATGTATTGCCCCAGTCTGCTTGGTCTATCAAATATGGATGTACATGTCTAAAGCACTTTCCTACATACTATTTTGCACTGCAGCATGTAGGAAGAGGCTGGTATGTAATATAATGTACTGGCAAGGAATAGCCACCCTCTGGTTTTGGGGGCTATAGTCAATTCTTAAGGTAATTTTTTTTCTTTTCCTTTTTTCAGAAGATCTTTCTCCCCTCTATAAAAATCTCTTCGACATCTTTGAGTTGTTTTCTATCATGCTGGTATACTAACACATATTAACCATAATATGAATTTTTCTTTAATAAGTGAGCCTGTGTAACAGTGTAAGAAAACTCAGTGCAGGAGGATTTGAATTTTTGATTGTCTAAAGAATAATTTCCTTCTTGATTATTACAATAAATCCAGCTTTTATACATTACCTCCTATTTTAATATAACTGCAAACTGCAACATCACTGTAAAACACTTAGGTAGGTGATATTATTTTAGTTTATGAACAAAGCCAAGTGAATAAAACTCAGTTCAGCAGGAATATCCAAGGTTACCCTACTCTCCATATGAAGAGTAAATTGTTAAAATTCATGCAAGAAAATCAGGAAAAAGGTGACTGTGTGTGGGTATATAAGTGTGGTTTCTCATGATGTTTGCCTTTCCATTTATCTGCGTTTCTTTAAGAAATATCTTGCAATATTTATTTACTTGTTTATTTATTTAGCATGTAATGACATTTTCATCATTGTTAACTCGGCATATTTACATGAACAGGAGTGGCAGAGGAGCTGAGCTCTGTGCTAGGTAAGAATTTTGCATGTTTTGTCCAACATGCAAAGGCTACCACAGCACTGGGGAAAAAAAAAAACAAACAAAAATAAAACAACAACAACAAACAGAGAAGAAACTCCTGACTAACATCTGTGAACTGTGTCTCTATCATGGTTTTGGGTTTTTTTTTTTTTTTTTTTTTTTTTCTGTGATATTTGTTTGAACAGAAATAAATTGATTTGAGGAAACGTCTTGCTAATTGGGGTCACTAAACATAGGACCCCAAGGCATAATCAGATGCCTCTGTGTAACTAACCTGCAACAGTTTCTGTTAACAGTGAGTGACATCTCTGAAAACTGTAGTTTTTATAGGGCTAATAGCTTGCTGATTGTGATTCCTATCTTAAGATACAGGCACCTTTCATTATGCTTGCACAAGCACGTAATCTTTTTAAAATAGTAAGGTTGCAAGGTGATGCTTATTTTATATTTCTTTTTCACCACTACTTTGTTTTCTTCATGATTAATTTCCTTTCTCTGCTAAACAAGATAAAAGCAAAATATCACAGGTGAAAATTTCTCCTATTTCATGAGAGAAGCACTGGGGAGGAATGAGAGAAGAACTGTCTTCTTCCAGCATATGGTTCTTCAAACCTGAGATGAAGTCCATGATTTTGGGTTTGGACTTGCAGCTGCTACTGTGGCAGACAACAAGTTAATGTGACAGCCAATACAAAGATGCAGCAACAACTTTCTGTAGGACAGCACCAATTGTAAATCAGTCAAACATGAAAGTAGTACTTAGAATGAAACTGATATGCAAAAATATATTTTAACTTCTGTAATCGCAACTTTTACAAGCACCACTAGTGTGTTGCTCTACGTTACCTGAGCTTAGACATGGAAAAGTTTCAGTTTGTGTAAAGTCTTCTACTGGAATTTTAAGTTTGTTGTAGTTAACTGCTTTTTTTGCAGGATTTACTGGCAACTGTTCATGAACAGGAGCGTAAAAAAGGTCCATGGAAGTTAATGCAAGGATTGTCTCAGAGGTTTCTTTCCAACTATATAAGCATACATAAAGGTTCTTTCTTGAGGAATCTTTGTAGGTATTAATGCTGAGAAGAGTGAGTTTTCAGTTAGTTTGACCATGATGACTATGAAAATAGTTTTTAAAACAGGAGCTGTTTTGCATTGCTCAGTGTGTGCACCAGGATGTGAAAATGTTCCTGGATTAAAGCAGAAATCTATTTACAAACAGTTCCCGGTGCTAGCTACTAGTCCAAATCCTCCTGAGGTTTTTGAGTGAAGATGCCCAGAGCATCAATGTTACCTACCATCTACCTTCGAAGGATCACAGTAAGTGTAATACTGACTGCAGGTATTAGTGCGTGTATGTATGTTTATGGTCCTATACTTGCCGCTTGTTACTTATGCTCAGACAGAAATTGTATTGGTTTTTTATTTTTTTAAAAAAACAACCCAGTTTCCAAGATGTAAACATTTAGTGCAAATGAAAGATATTCATGAAGGAAACAGGCAACTTGAGATCTACAAAGTTCCTGTTTATTTTTTTTTTCACATTCTCTCCTGATGTCCCCTACCGAGTAGAACTGTTTTATAATCACATTTTCCTGCTGCTAAAAAGAATTTTTCCTTTCCTCCTCTACAGCGTTGAAAGGTTCACACAGGCAACAGGGAGCCAGCTAACGTAATATCCAGGGGAAGAGGGAAGCTAAACTAATTACTTACTTGAAATAATGGGCTTTGTATAAATTCCCTAACATGGTTCTAACAGAAGTTTTGTTTTACCACTGATGGGTGTCCCAGTGGCAGGAAAGAGCTCCTGCTGCCTGCATCCCTGCTTTATTTTTGTTTTATTTTGTGGAAAAGCTTGGATGACACGGTGGTCAGTAAGTAACTCTACAGGAGCCTGAATGGGCTGAGTGTAGAACAGATGAAAGTGGCTGATATAGCTTGATCGTTTATTAACAGGTTAGTTGTCAGTATTGTCTTTGTTCTGAATTGTCAGCACCATCTTTGGTGACAGATTTTCCTCCCATTTATAAGCTTGTTTTCAGAAATTTCATTCATAAGAGCATTATTGTCTTGTGATTTTTCCAAACGTTAAAGCTCAGCCAAAGAAAAATTGTATCCTCTTCTGTCCTAGCCACACATTAGAATGACCTGTTTCCAATTAAGGGAAAGGATAATGCTGTCATATCCATTTAAAAGGATTTAAACACCAGTCATTCTCTTGTGTTTCAGCTATGGATCATGAAAAGTGCATGCTGGAAATGAATAGAAAAGAACTTTATTGTTATCACAACCAAATTGTTGCAAAGTAGACAGGACCTCTGCTTTGCTTTTCAGATATAAAGAGCACGGATAACCAGGTGAAAACTTGATGGAGCTTATCCTGTGACAGTCCTGTTATATAACGTCTGGCAGTGCCATCGCACTTGGCTTGTTGACGTGCTAGTTTAATTGGCTCTTGACGTTCCCAGA